AGAGCAGCTTGGATTGTTAACCTAGTGCTTTCTCGGCTACCCTGCCTGTATAGGAGCAGAGGAGTTGGCAGGGAGATGCTGCAGCAGAGGCTGAGGTTGGGTTAAACCCCCAAAAGGTTAACCAATCCAGGAAGGAGGAAGAACACTGAAGAGGAAGGAACTACACTCCACTGCCCAAAATCTGGGCAGAAAAAGATAAAACAGAAAGAATAAGGGTGGGAGCAACAGAAACTGCCACCGTCTGCTGCCGCAGCAAGCAGGAGCACAGAGGGCATAGAAGGTGCCAAAATGCTGATTCATCTCCGTGAAGCTGCAGAGAGAGGAAAGCAGCCCTAGATGTCCAGAACTGTGGGAGACACTGGGCTGAAGAACAAAACGTTTTAACCAAAGTTTCTGAAGTGGTGCTAATCAGGACAGACAAGAGTAATTTTATCAAGTCTAGATACGTTACAAGCAGGTAGTGTTATTGAAGTGTTGTGTACCTGAAAAATATTGAAAGCTGAATTCCTGCACACTTCAATAACATGCCTCTTCAAAAGAAAATGGATTTACCTGCTCCTTCGAGTCAAGTGGAAACCCAGTTCTCTTGAACCCCAATATGGGAAACACACAGACTTAAATGTTATTTCTGGGGTTATTTTTCCTTTGTTTTTTCCTCCTTAGTTAACGCACGTTTATCTAAAACATTTGACACACATGCCATCTTTATTAAGGATTTAATATACCACCCCTTCTATAGTAGGATGAGAAATCTCACAATAGCTTTTGATACACCTAGCTAAGTCCATCAAGAAAATCTCCAATAAACAAAAAGAGTATAAAGTCTCAACTGCCCTCATACTTTGAAGGGTAAAAACTAGGGCATGCGAGTGGGTTTTTCCCCCCTTTTCAGATCACCTTTCAAAGATCAGAAGGATTAGGCAAGTTAAAAATGACAAACTATTTAATAAAAGCAATTTAATTGCTGCAGGCTGAGCCAAACTCACTCTAGCTAAAGAAGTTTTATTAAATTGCTTAAAAAAAAATAAAGTGTGAGAATAGTTGAAACTCCATATAAACTAAAGAGCATCCTTTGTAAAAACTACTATAGTAAAACATGTTTTAGAAAATAAACAGCATAGTCAACTGAACATATAAAATTGCAATACAAAATATTTGTCATCAAGCAATGACATTTACATGAACAGGGAATTCCATGAGTATAGTATATTTAAATATTCAGAGCTACAGCTTTAGTAGATAGCAAAAGCTATGAAATAAGGTTATGTACAAACTTCCATTATAACATTTTGTTCATTTGTTCAAGAATTCTAGTTCTGAGATCAACCTTCCCATGCTGTGTTTATGTGATCCTCATTACCTACATGATGGGTTTGATCCTGCCCCCACTGAAATAAATGGCAAAACTCCCATGGACCTAAATGGGGCAAGATGAACCTCTGTCTGAATAACCCAGAAGTGAATACTTTTGCAAAGTTGGAGGAAAACCTCTTCAGTCATTTGAGTTATGGTAAAAGGAGAAGAGTTTAACTGAAAGATATAATTATTTTTGTTTTAAACTCACCAACATTGATTTTTTTTTAAATGGCCAAACAAAAAATTTAAGCCTTGAGAAGTGATAATTCCCCATGAGGAACAGTCTCTTAGCTAAGCTTGGAAGAAAATACTGAGTTTGAACTATGAAGACAAAAAAAAAAAAAATTGTGTGCCCTATGTAGTGCATAAAAGACATTTTTTCGTTTCCTGATTCACTCTTCATTACACATAAACACTATGTTATTTATCAGTTAAGGCTGCTGCACACAACATATTTGACAAGACCTCAAAAGTAAAGGAATGAAAAGTTAAGCCATTTAACACTACATACCCTCTAGGGGTCTCGACAAAGCCTTATGACACTACAGTCTCAGAAGTTTTTAATGTATTCTACAACTCTTACTACGGTGATGATGGCTACAGTAATGCCCATAAATATGAATTCTGAGCTTTCACTTAAAATAGTTATATTGTCTTTTCTCCATTGTAAACATAAGAACAGATGGGCTGATGCCAAGTTAAGCCACCCTCTCCCACTACTCAAAAAAAGCCTCCAATACTCCATTACACAACGCAACTGTTTCCAGCCAAAAAGACAAAAGATGTCTACTCATTCTTGCTCACCCTATTCTTCTTAAGACATAAGTTTCTTAGCCTAGTCAGGACCATTTAAAATATATTAAGCATGGACCAATTCCCTTGCCTCCCTCCCCCCCCACACACACACCTATTATTTATTATTATTATAAGATGCATTATTTGTTTTGTTTAAAAGTTATGGCTCTTATGGTAACATTGAAATGTTGCTCTCACTCCTACCCAAGCTTTTCAATATTGAAAGCATGGAGAGAGTAAACACAATGTTATATTTTAGTAAATTTAAGGAAATGCTTTCATTTTAGACTTGAGTTTTTAAATGATTAGACTCTCATGGATAGAGGCAGCACACATCACAGCTGCACCAGAGAGAAACTATATTCCATGAGAAAAGGGCCCATCGTCTCATCTAAGAAGGCAACCTTACAGGATGATGGGAAAGGCAGAGAAACGCATCTCAAGTCTAACTGCTCTTGGGCGTGGGGCTCTGCAGGTGGCCATGAGGCAGAAGAAGAGTCAACTGTGGAATGCTGGCTTCCCTCAGGTATCTCCTAATCCTTACCTCTTCTCCCTACCAGCAAAGCAGGCGCTGTCAGACCTATCAGCCTGCTAAATATGGTTAAAAATTGCTTACCTAAAGATATTAGCTAAATAGTGCTGTTAACAGTTCTACAGTGTATCAGAAGACTTCTTAATAATAGTTATTACATACCATAAGTTAAAAAAACCTAGGCAGTTGCAATAAACAACATAGTGAGGGATGAGCCTCAAGCTGTACTCTATGTTTTTGTATGTTTATTTCATATTCAAATCAATGTTATATTTTTCTATGCAATTCTATTCTTCTAAAGCTACTATGTGTGTTTAAACAATTAAAAGGGAAGTAAAACACACTAGGTACCATAAAACTCATATGCAGAAGAATTTTTATTATTATTTGTATTATCATAGCACCTAGAGCCCCAGGCACTGACCAGGACCCCTTGTGCATGGTGCTATACAAACACAGAACAAAAAGATAATCCCTGCTCCAAAGAGCTTAGAATGTCTCTTTCTAGACCTTTTGTATGTGTCATATTCTGACTATACAAACACATAGCATGAAACATATCTGGGTTAGATGGAAAAGTGTGTTATATACAATAGCATTTTAGCTCCCAATACCTACAAAAGGATCAAATCCTAGCTATAAGTCACGTGTGAGAATCAGGTTGATGGTCTCATCTCTCTCGCTCTTTGTTCAAATCACAAAACCACAAGTTTAAAAGAATTGGCAGTCTAATAAATTAATATTTATGATTGAAATATCTAAGGTGCCTGCATGTGTATATTTAGGTGTATTAGCAGAACTCAGGTAGAAACATTTAGATCTAGACAAATACAATAGAAAATATAGCATAGGCAATATAAGTGGCAAGGTGGTCTATCTATATCGGGACACCTCTGTACAAACACTTGTATATCTCTTTATAAATCTGAGTTAATTTCATACTATTTTATAGCGCTGGTTTTGAGATACTTTTCTCAGGTACTTTCATCTTCTACTTTATCACTATGAAAATACATAATTTACTAAGCCCACTGGGTACTTTCACAGTGATAATGTAGAAGATTAAAGTAACTGACAAAAAGTACCTAACTGTACTCCGCCAATCTCAAAACCAACACTATAAATGAGTACGAAATTAACTCAAATTTATAAAGATGTATACAGTGAAATGTTATTTAAAAGTTCTGTAACTCAATGATTTCATACAATAAACTACTATAGTATTACTACTGCCGAACAGCTCTTATTTTAAAAAAATGTTTTCTGATGTTCTTTTCAAAAAGTACTTAATTTTATTTAAATTATTCTTCAGAAGTAAAGTCCAATTGAAATGGGTGTTATATGATCACTAATTGCTGGAGCACGTTGCTTTTTTGTTTTTAAATACCAATGAAATATGGACACCCCCTTTTATTAACGCAAGGACAAAAATAGACAGTTACCAGTATTACAGCAAGAAAAAAAAATAGCATACTAATGGCACTCCAGGTTTACGTTTGCATAAAGAGCTTTAGATATCTAAAATTATTGTGCTTAACTAACACCTGTCTTATTTCAAAACATAGGTATGTAGATAACCCATCAGCATAGTATATACTGTGTCAAAATGTTGATATTGTTCACTGCACTGACATCTACACAAACACAGTTTGAAAAGGCTAAGAGGACTCTCTGCACAAGATAAGGGAAGAACCCTTCAGCAATGAAGGCTATGACAGGCAATGAAAGCTAAACAACGAAGCTCCTAACATAGAAAACCAGTTTTTCAAAATCTAACTCTTAATATCAACATTTCCATAAAGCGTAGAGCGTGAAGCTTTTACAATCAGAGTTCCACAGCTGTCAGAAGAGTGCTAAGCTATTGGGAACACCCACCCACTCAGCAACACCCTGAGCACAGAAGGAAGGCACGTGGTTACACAGCTTGGAAGGAAGATTTCTTATGCTACCCCCAAAAAAAATTTAACTGAAGATTTAAAAAAAAACAAATTTTAATTTATTATTAAAAGAAGTCAGTTCTACAACTACACCTCTACCTCGATACAACGCTGTCCTCGGGAGCCAAAAAAATCATACCGCGTTATAGGTGAAACCGCGTTATATCGAACTTGCTTTGATCCGCCGTAGTGCACAGCCCCCACCAGAGCACTGCTTTACCGCATTATATCAGAATTTGTGTTATATTGGGTCACGTTATATCAGGGTAGAAGTGTTAGTATCCACTTCATGAAGGTGAAACTATGCATTTTCATTAAGAGCAACACAATCTGAAGTATTTCTGTTATCAAGCTGTTGAGAACAAAAGAGACAAACGTACCTCCTTCCAAGGACTCACGAACTGTGTACGTGCATATCGAGTTAGCATGTGGATAATAACAACTTGCCCCCACTCCTCCACATCAACCAACAAATTACACAGCTTTCGATAGTTCTTGTGAATCAGATCTATTCTATCCGGGCACACTTCCTCAAATGCCATCACCACACTCCCAGCCACCAGCTAGAAAACAAAATTGTAAAAACAAGTCAGTGATTCTCTCTATAAATCCATACATGAGTACTTAGAACTAATATTGGCAATTCTCAGTACTTTAAAGCATGTCCATTATGCAAAAAGATAGTAGCCAGAAAAAGAGACTCCCCTCTACTCACAGAAGTTGAGTCTTATTTTTAAATGGATTCTGAATAATTGCATTAATCGGTTTATTTGGCAGAATATGTCCTTTTGTCAAACAAAACAGACAAACTTTCTATTACATATTTAATCTCAACCCTAGCACTGAAGATATAGTGCAAGCAAAACCAGTTGTTTGTTTTGAGGTTTTTTTAGGGGGTAGGGGTGGTAATTTATGGTTTCACAAAGAATTTATCAGATGCAAGACTTACTTCACATCTGCAAGGTAACGGTAAGTACAAGTGTTGTGCACTTATTAACATTCCATGATCAAATTGGAGGAGGAAGTAGGGTGATTTCTGACATAATGGAGCCAACCCCCTCTCTTGACCGCTAAACAATCACTGCCAGAATCCCTGGGGTTCATAAAATTACTTCTAAAGAGCAAACGTTAAGCCTTTTGAATGTGTTAGATATTTTCCGCAATTTTCTCAGAGGATTTTCTCAGAATCCATCCAGACTCTTCTACAAGTTATTTGCCCCCCTCCCTCCAATTTCAAAGGTGCACAAGTTGAATGTTTATGCCACCAGCACAGTCAGTATATTTTTAGGAACATAGTATAAATATTTTCAGGATGTATACAATAAAAAATTTCCTTGCCATATGATTTTTCCTCCTTCCTTGGTTATGAAAGTAATTTTGCTTTCATGAAAAAAACTAAATGAACAGATTCTAGAGACCTATTATCTGCAAACACATGGTTCCTCCTGCGTGGGGTTTCTCAAGTGCTATGGAGAAAAACTTTTGTGGGGAATCCTTGAAATAATGGCAGCAAGTCACTTTATGAAAGACATCAAGCTTCAAAGACAACCAACATATGTATTCCATAACACAATTTTTGAAATTTTAAACAAAGGAATTCTAAGATCCTAATCAAATAAATTTGTAATAACTTTAGTTTGGGACTTTGGACTCCTCTACTTCTCTGCTACAGAAAGCTATTGGGATAATCACCTTCAATAATAAAAAACAGAACAGCAAACACCCTACAGCATATACTTAAGTTGCCTCCAGGAAATCAGTTACACACAGCATAAGCACTTGTCAATGTGTCAAGAATTACTATTCTTCCTTTCCTAATTGTTTTAAGTAAGATTTGCTTTGTGTCAAGGAACATGTTAAGCAAAACATCTAACAGGATAAAACTTCTATATGAAGTAACTGATATGTATGCAGTTAGCATGCCTGCAACCCAGTTTTCTGGCAGCAAAAAATGTCATTCTATCTGAGCACTGGGGATGTGCATTTCATCTTCTAAAATTTCCCCAATGACTTAAAGTAAGCAATTAAATAGAAATATAGTTTATTTAAATGGCACTTCTTGAGAAATATTAAATACAATGATATTCATATGCTACATTTTTTCCTCTACATTTGGGCTATTAGTATGCACCCAACACTACAACTGAAAGAAAACATCTCAGAATATAGTCTTGATATTATGCTAAACAAGTTTCAAGTCCAGTGGGAATTTTATGAATTACTAATAAGTCTAAACGTGAAGTTGCATTTATTGTCCCAAATCCTGCCCATGTGCTGGTACCTACTGGATACGCAATGCGTTCCAGAGAACAAAGAATTTATGATTTGTAAGAACTAAATAAAAATGCATTATACTTGCAACAAAAAATAGAACATTATTATATCACATATAGAAAGGTAATTTTGTGTTTTCAGTATTTTTTTAAATTTTGTTATATTAATCTTTATTATTGCATTGATGTAATAGACAAGTTAGGTAATTATTCATGTAATTAAACACATTTCTATTTATTTGGTGGTCAGGACTAGTTAATAACCTTGTGTTATACTGGTATTAAAACTACTAGGATGTACCTCAGCATATTCAAAATATTACGCTTAGTTTGAAAACAGATGGCAACAAGAACAGGAGTACTTGTGGCACCTTAGTCTCTAACAAATTTATTAGAGCATAAACTTTCATGGGCCACAGCCCACTTCTTCGGATGCATCTAATATGCTTATGCTCTAATAAATTTGTTAGTCTCCAAGGTGCCACAAGTACTCCTGTACTTTTTGCGGATACAGACTAACACGGCTGCTACTCTGAAATCCAACAAAATATTGTAGATTTAGATGTAGTTTAAATACAGAGAGGTTTCTTTAAAATGTTGGCCAAAATTTTTAAGAATGGTACCTGAAGTGAAGTTCCTAAATTCATATTTGGGCTCAAAATAAGCAGCTGGAGTTGCAGAAAGGCTGATCACCCATCAACTCCTTTGCACTTTATTGAAAGGTGATGTGTTCTGAGAATTCAGGAGTTGCTGGCCACTTTACCTGCAGACTCAGTAGTCCATCTGTACATCCACTCTGCACTAGATTCATAGCAGCTTTAATGCACTCAGGGCCTTTTGCAGGATCTAATATAATGGGCATTGGAATTTTACCTTTTTTTAAATAAATAATACTTTTGAAACATGCATTTTTGTTCTATTAGATGCAAGAAAAATTAAATTAGAACGTTTATCACTCTTATTTTAAATGCATGGAACATATCTATAGTTATCTGGATATATGTCAGCCACCCAACTGTGCAACTATACCGGGGTGGCCAACCTGAGCCTGAGAAGGAGCCAAAAATTTACCAATGTACATTTCCAAAGAGCCACAGTAATATGTCAGCAGCTCCCCCATCAGCACCCCGCCTCTGCTCCCAGAGCTTCCTACCCCTCCCAGCCCCGCCAATCAGCGCCTCCCCCTCCCTCCCCGCACCTCCCGATCAGCTGTTTCGTGGCATGCAGGAGGCTGGGGGGGGAGAGGGGGCAGGGCCTGTGACAGAGCCAGGGGTTGAGCAGTGAGCACCCCTGGCACATTGGAAAGTTGGCGCCTGTAGCTCCAGCCCCGGAGTCAGTGCCTATTCAAGGAACCTCATATTAACTTCTGAACAGCCGCATGTGGCTCCAGAGCCACAGGTTAGCCACCCCTGGACTATAACAACATAAGAACGGCCATACTGGATCTGATCAAAGGTCCATCCAGCCCAGTATCCTGTCTACTGACAGTGGCTAATGCCAGGTGCCCCAGAAGGAGTGAACCTAACAGGTAATGATCAAGTGATCTTTCTCCTGCCATCCATCTCCATCCTCTTACAAAGAGAGGCTAGGGACACCATTCCTTACCCATCCTGGCTAATAGTCATTAATGGACTTAACCTCCATGAATTTATCTAGTTCTCTTTTAAACCCTGTTATAGCCCTAATCTTCACAACCTCCTCAGGCAAGGAGTTCCACAGGTTGACTGTGCACTGTGTGAAGAAGAACTTCCTTTTATTTGTTTTAAACCTGCTGCCCATTAATTTCATTTAGTGGCCCCTAGTTCTTATATTATGGGAACAAGTAAATAACTTTTCCTTATTCACTTTCTCCATACCACTCATGATTTTATATACCTCTATCATATCCCCCCTTAGTCTCCTGTTTTCCAAGTTGAAAAGTCCTAGCCTCTAATCTCTCCTCATAAGGGACCTGTTTCAAACCCCTAATCATTTTAGTTGCCCTTTTCTGAACTTTTTCTAATGCCAGTATATCTTTTTTGAGATGAGGAGACCACATTTGTACACAGTATTCAAGATGTGGGCATACCATGGATTTATATAAGGGGAATAAGATATTCTCCGTCTTATTCGCTATCCCTTTTTTTAATGATCCTTAAAAACATCCTGTTTGCTTTTTTGACTGCCGCTGCAACACTGTGTGGACGTCTTCGGAGAACTATCCACGATGACTCCAAAATCTCTTTCCTGATTAGCTGTAGCTAAATTAGCCCCCATCATATTGTACATTGTGATAGACCCAGGCCAGTTGGGTACAACAAAGTAGTAGAAGGCAGATCTAATCCAGTGGCCAGTATGTTTTCTGTTCCTTGACTGACCAGAGCAGGGGCTGCTCCAGGCTAATGAGAACACCTGACTCCAATTAACCTGCAAAGAGTCAGGTGAGGCCATTAAGGTTATGTGAACACCTGACTCTAATGAAGGCCCTTGTTGATACTATAAAAGGACTCACTCCAGTCAGGCTGGGGAGAGCCAGGGAGCCAGAGGAGAGGAAGTGCAGCTGAAGGGCTGGTTAATGAAGACACCCTCAAGTCATTGGTAAGGGAGCCCTAAGGTAAGGGCGAAGAAGGGAGAAGCAGGAGAGCTGTGGGGAAGTGGCCCAGGGAAATATAGCAACTCTGGCAGCGAAAGGTTGGCTGCCAACAGCTGCTACCTTTAGGGTCCCTGGGCTGGAAACCGGAGTAGAGGGCGGGCCCGGGTTCCCCCCAATCCTCCACTACAGGAACACCTCCTGGGAAGGGAAGACAGGCCCCTGTCAGGACAGGAGGCTAAACTGTTTTGGTATGAGGCCGTAGGAGCAACAGAGACTGTGGGAATTCTCTCACCAACCTCCTTCCTGGCTTATGATGAAAAGGGCTCATTAGACAATATCCTTGGCCCTAGAGAGAGAAGGGCTACATGGAGGGTTGCAGTGAGCCTCTGAAGCTAGTATAAACCGCCTGGAAGCACGGGACGCACAGGGACTAGGTCGGAGCTCTGCCACAACGTATAGTTGGGGTTATTTTTTCCAATGTGCATTACTTTACATTTATCCACATTAAATTTCATTTGCCATTTTGTTGCCCAATCACTTAGTTTTGTGAGATCTTTTTGAAGTTCTTCACAATCTGCTTTGGTCTCAACTATCTTGAGCAGTTTAGTATCGTCTGCAAACTTTGCCACCTCACTGATTACCCCTTTCTCCAGATCATTTATGAATAAGTTGAATAGGATTGGTCCTAGGACTGATCCTTGGGGAACACCACTAGTTA